GCCGCGCCAGCTTCGCTACGATAGAGCGCTCCCTAGTCACCCACCTCCGCTTCGCTTCGGTGGCTCCGGTATAGATAGAACCTCCTTTTTTGTACATGTACTCCGCGCTACGCGCCGCGCCCCCGACCTGGTCTAAGCGCTCAAAACTCCGGATTAGCCAATACATGTAATAGATTTCAGTATTGGCTTTCTCTATCTTCTTCCGGGGCATGGCGACGTGACCGGATATATTTTGAGATGCTCCAATACTTACCGGTAACTCCAGTGGAGTTATGAGGGGTCGCTCGAGCCTACGTTAGTAACGTGATAACGTCGTTACCGCATCAAAGGGCACGGCTCATGCTGCATCAAGAAATGAAGCCCTCCACAACATTTTTTATTCTAGGACAACTTAAATGATTTTAATACGGTACTGTGAATGCAGTAGTCGCTGTTTGGCTTTGTTTGTGCTTTTTTTTCTTCTCTGTACCCTTGAAGCGTTAGAGCATGCGGTAACGTAGGTTCTATGTATTTGACCAGGTTTGCAACCTGCTTGAAAAGTGTGATGGGCAGAAATGCAAGTCGTGGGAAAAGTGGCTTTTTCTTGCAAATCGCAAAATGCCGTAGCCTAAAATTAAAAGTGGTGTGTCTCCACACAGCCTTAAATTAGATCTCACAAGAACGGGCCATTTGCACGATGGTTGGTAAAACTGGTAACTTGGCCGGGAAATGGTGTATTTTTGGAGCCACTTGTGCGAAAATCCGACCCGTCTGTTTCCGGCTAAATAAGTACATTTTACTGCACAATTGAGAACCCCTAATAATGTTAGGCATAATAAATTACCTGGTAATTTCCGAAAATAAATAACAATTTGCTAATGGAAGAAGGGAAGGTGCGGCAGTCGATGGCGGAGACCCACGATGGCAGCGAGATTGGCACACCTCACGGTTCAGAGAGAGGATTTACAGATCAGCAGGAGGGACGCGAGAGCGGTCGTGAGGAGTACCTTGCGGGAGTTCAGCGCCGTATCGAGTCGTACGAGAACTGTGTGGCGGCCATCACAGCGGCGACAACTTCTTTGCAACAACTCAGTGGGCACTTAGACGCCATGCAGCAAGCCACTCAACAGCTAAACGCGTTTACTGGTGGCTGGTTGGCAGTGTTGAAGCGTCCATCCGCCTAAAAGTCGTTAGGCGGACACACGCCAACAAGTATTTAAGACGCAGGACGACAGCGCAAGATGCGGTGGTAGACCTTCCTAATTGTAATTCAATTCAAAGCGATGTCAATTGTGATTAAGGAAGTTGCAGTACTTGATGGCACTATTAGATCACGCGACCGTTCATTCTTCACTAATGACTGGAGAGGAGAACGGAGACGATCGGCGGAAGAGAACGTGGAACTCGTCGACAAAGCTGACCCAGCCGCGACGTACGGCGGAGGAAAATATAGTAAGGCGAGGCCAAGACACATCTCAACAGGGTGCGTTTAGACCTGGAACTGCTGAAGGGCAGCCTCGGAATCCACGGCAAAACAGAAACAATAAACAACGTGTTGAAGAGAGCGCGATTGAAACTGAGAAAGAGCAACAAACTCTGACGCGAGAGTTACTAGAACGTGCAGTGTCCACAGCTTTTGGCGGACTGCTGCAGGATTCCACGCTGGATGCTGCAGCCTTCCCAGATGACCACGAGTCGCAATCGAGCGAACTGTCCAGCACGCGTGCCGCGGAAAATGTGCGGTCCTGAGGACTGACGACCTTAGTTTGCTTGTATTAACTTGTTCTTGCTTTGGCTTAACTACAGGCACCCCTGGTATGTAGTCCAGTCTCCAAAATTCAAACTGAACAAAAGAGTGTCTCTCTATCAGCAAATTACCGTCAGAGCCGTCGAGAGTACGCGGAAATTTTACAGCAAGCAACGAGTGATGCGAAAGCAACAAGGGAATTCCAACGGCGGGTGAAACACGCTTCTTTTGAGCACCGCGAGCGAAAACTGGCTGTACAGGCGCTGCAAGCTCGTATCAAACGGGAAATCCAATTCTTGATTGCTACAGCTGCGGATCTGGAGAAACGGGTGAATTTTCATCTAAACATTGGCAACGGTAAGCAAATGCAGGTGGACTGACTATATATTGTCTGTGTAATGCCTGAATATCGCTGTTAGGAATTTCTTCTCGACGACGCGTTTGAGAGCTACGAACGCGCGTTACGTCTCGAGCTCGGTCTAGTTGGCAACGTCGGCCCGCCAAACAATCAGAGGCAGGGGGAAGCGAGTTCTCAGCGCTTCTACTAAATAGCGTAATAGCTGATCAGAAAGAGTTGCCTCGTAACCAGCGAATGCCGCGCAACCCATTGCCAGTCGCGACATTGTTCTCAAGCCCATTGATAATGTACCCGCCCGCTAGGAACGCAGCACCAAACGGTAAGCACAATAGCCATGAATATTACGCACGTGAAAGCAACAACACATTACCTGCATTAGTTTCGCCTTGGCGATGCAGAACGACAGTTGGTGCCTTGTTCGGGTCGTAATCTGCTGTTTGCAGTAGCAACGAATCCTTCCGTAGCATTTCTCGTTGATGCGCGGTTAACTCCTTAGCCACTGGTTGCTCCCGGGTTCGATTTGGGTCCAGGAGACGCAACTCGCATCTCGGTATTTCTCTCTCTCGATTCATGTCTTCATCATACTCGATTTCGTAGCAGTCGCTCTCGGGTACAACGCCGGTAATTGTGCCAGGAAACCACAGTCCATCCAACTCACGTTCAACTCGAGTACCGACGCGAAACGCGGTTAGTCTCCAATGTTTTCCGTGGCCATACATTTCAGCCTGCTCGCCCTCTTCAAACTTGAAACTCTCCACGTTCTCGACTGGACTGTTGTCATTCCCTGGGTTGTTCGCAGCCGTGACTGTCTTCATTCCCCTCGACTTGAAGGTGTCAGCTGCTTCATGGAGATATGGATCAAGACCGATGGCACTTTTAGCACAGACAAGGTCCCTAAATAGGCTGGAGTTGAAATTTGAAACTTGTCGTGTTGTTATTCTACCGGGTCACTACGCCTGCACGTATGGCGTCTGGATCTCTTTTTCCACGGCGTGGGCCGGGTTGGCTCCAACATTTTCACTCTCACTGCTGTCGTCCGCAATAGTGCCGCCATCCCCCGTCGGCTGGTTGGGGGCCAGGTAGAAGTCGTCCGTAATCTCGAACTTAATGTAGCGGCCCACGACACGGGCGAGGGTGTCGATGGCACGATGCATTCCTTGCCATCGGATGAAAAAGAAGTAAGCGACTCCCAGCACGAGTCCATCAGCTGATCCGACGGCGACCTGCAGTGCCGTGTGGTCACCAAGGTAGTAGCGACTGTAGGGCACGGGGGTCAACACAAGAGTGGCGAAAAGCACCGCGACCGCTTTTTGCCTGGCCGACCAGTGGCGTAGCTGCTCTCCAACGCCCACAATCGTCTCGAGGACAACCCAAGTCCACAGTCCGATAGCGTTCGTGGCGTGGCCCGATGGCAGTCCATTGCTTACGAGACATGAGCCTGCAGGACGTGGACTTTCGTCGCAGTCACCCAGTATCTTCACCAGTATGACAGTGTTGAGTACCGTAAGGATAATCGGCAGCAGGATAGCAAACACGCGCGTGTATCGGCGCGAGCGCACCAGTGCCTCGATAATGATGGCGATAAGCACCAGGTAGGTACCATACTGTAAACAGTGCAGATGACATCCCAGATTGTGATACTGTCGAGTGGCATACTGAGCGAGAAGAATTTGCGCATGATCCAAGTGCCAGTGCACGGCCCGCGTTCGCAACGCTTAGAGTCCTCGCCCCACATCTCACAGCACTGCTCGAACGACGTGCAGCGCACATAGTCCACGCTGTCGTCGTCGCTGTCGTTGCTGGATGCGACACAGGCGGACAGGGAAGCTGCGCTGATAAGAAGAAGCCAACGAGCGATTGTAGAAGACGGCGGCATACTGCACGAAGAAGCCTTGACAATATGCTACCGAATTTTTGAGTGCTGAAAAAGTCAGCGCATTTTGATTTCTAACTGGACGACATGATTACGCGAATTTATTTGGACGTGAACGGTACATGTACGCAAATCCAATGGAAACGACCCATTTTGTGAAGCTTTCTACTTCGAAGTAGCAACAATTTTAATTATTAACATTAGTAACGGATGCGCCCGAATAAAAGCCCCCTACCGAATAGTGTCCTGTGGGGTGCTACATGCCTGCACTATTAAATACAAGCCCCTCCTGAATAGAGTCCTTATAAAAACTACCAAATCTGCTATTACAAACAGAGAGAAACACTTTCCCGTCATTTCCAATAATGCCTCATCAAAGGCAGTCAGTTAGCATTGTGCATAAGCAAGAGGTGATCAAGTGGATTAAAGATGTCGTTTCAAGGACCTACTGTACATGGAAATTAACGCTTGGAAAGAGTCAGACCGTGTCGAATACACTCGCTTTGGTGTCCCGTACCCGGGAACGGAGGGGTCATTCCAGGAGCTCTGCCTCCCGTCGGGATGACTCGAGACTCTGGAATCACTGTGGTGTAGTGATTTCTCCGTAGTTGCGGATTATCACCCGTCGACAAAGACGTGACACCGCCCAAGTTGTTCAAGCGACGAGCCCTCGGTCATGTGATGTACGGAGACGCCAAGGTGCAAGGGACTCGACGGCGTCACCTCCGAGTTTTCAACAAGTGTGGTGAAGTGCTTTCTCAGAAATAAGAGAATGGTCCTGACGCGGGGTCACTATCCCGAATCAGTGACAATTTCAAGTGATTATAGAGGATTTGGGTTGTTTGGCACGGGTGCAAGTTGCCTGTGGTGGATTAGCCATGGCGAGCAGCACCCCGTATGGAATGACGATGGATCTGATATGAGCGATGTACGAGAAGGCAAGATCCACCAAGACTTACCTCGGATCCACCCTTACCTGGATTCACTAAGATGGATATGGGATATACTATACAAGAGTGGATCGAGTGTGGATCCTATGAAGGAAGGATGGTCGGTGCCCTCTGACGGTGGATCTAGCAGCCACGGCTAATGAAGAGTCAAGATCCACCGCGAGGTACCCCGGATCCCATACTCCTGAGTTCGTATCCAAGGAGGGAGGATCCCGCCTGGAGGGACCTGGATCCAGGGTATAGGGATGAGGGATACAGTGGATCTCGAACTTTCGTAGGACAACGGAGATCACAGACGATTGCAAGATGATGTTGGATGATTGGAGAGTTCGGATCCACGGCGAGTGTACCATTACAGTGAGGTGGATCCAAGCGACCTGGATCCGGATGAGTGTACCCATAATAGGGTGACCATGATGATTACGTCATATATCCGGTGGATCTGAAGATAACACAGCTGGGATGATGGGTCAAGGGAAGAAGGGACATGCAGCCGAGCACTGGTAAGGGATTTAGCAGATGAAAGACATAGAAGGTAGAAACCCAG